GTATTGTAAAAGCGTATAAGACTAGTATAGAAATAATGATTTCAGATTTGTAAGACGTGCGGTTTAAGTTAAATTTAAAAGTAGATTTAAAATTAAAATGATAATCTTAATTGTAATTGTGATTGTAATTTTAATGTCAATTATTGTTAATTAAACAGTAAACATTGTTTATTTCTTTTATGTAACATTTACTTATTATATTTTGAGGTGTAGCAGCGCGCCAAGTATTTTTACATAAAAAATTTTATTTTAATAAAATTTTCTCATTTTGTAATGCTTCGTCTTTAATTTTTTTTAGATTAAATGTTGTATTCCATTGCAAATATAAAAGACTCTTGAATAGAAAGATAAAGGCACGTGTCATTTTGTCTCGTTAATTAAATGTTACATGTTGCAATAAAATATATGTTTTCTTCGCAATTTACAAAATACAATAGTAGATGTTATATGTTGCAAGAAATTATATATTCGTTTTGCAATTGGCGTAATTTAAAGATTTGATTTCATTTCTTTTTTAATACATGCATACGTACTACTGAGGGGTAATTTATAATAAAAAATTAACAACATTACCACTTGAATTATATTATTTATGTAACGGTTTTTTTTTAGTTTATGTAAAGTACAGTTTTTTATGGAAGGTACATGCACACTTGGCACCTTTTTTTTACCCTTTTTTAAAAAGGTAATTTTGTTAAGATAGATCATAGACGTCATACAATAAACTTGGGCATTTGTCAACATAACCCCATACCAGGTGTGTAAATATGAAACCGGAATTTTTTAATAGAAAATACACGTTTATTGCATGAAAATGATAAAAAATATTTTATTCGAAGTATTGTTCATCGCTAGTTATACATTTTTCCAACCTGTCTGACAATTTGTGGATGACACGCCAAAAAAATTGTTGTTCTTTTGAGCCAAAGCAGTCATCTAGCCATTTTCGTACATCTTCGTAAGAAGTGAAGCGCTGCTGAGCAAGTGCGTGTCCCATCAATGCAAATAAGTAGTAATCGGACGGAGCCAAATCTGGTGATAAGCCGCATGCGAAAATATTTCCCAACCAAACGCCTCGATCGTTTCCTTGACCAATTTTGCTGTGTGTGATGGTGCATTATCATGAAGCAAAATCACTTTGTGTTGCCTTTTTTGATATTCC